AGCAATAGACCTAATATTATAGTCTTTGCCAGATTCTTACTCTCAATTTGTCTATGACTTCATTGAGGATGATAAGAAGAATTCCCTTTCCGAGCTTCTGGATATGTTGAATGTTACTGAGTCAGGCATGAGAATGTCAGAAACATTGACGTTGGTTGAAGCCAACTCAAATGAGAAGGTAAGGGCTCAGAAGTCGTTGGAAGGAATTACTATAGATAGAAAGGGCATTTGTCCTCACTGTGAGAATCTTAGCCACTGGAGGAAACATTGCAAGGCCTTTCTAGCAAAAAGGAAGAAGGATGTTACTTCTTCGTTAGGTATGTTCTTGATTGAGATTAACTTCTCCTATCAATATCTTGGGTCATTGACACAGGATGTGGTACTCATATTTGTTCTAATGTGTAGGGACTTCAGTAGAGTAGATTGCTTTCCGAGGGAGAGGTAGACCTACTAGTTGGAGATGGAGCACATGATGCTACAGTAGCTTTAGGATCTTATTGTCTGATTTTGCTTACGGGCTTGTTACTTGGAACTTGTGGATTGTTATGATATTCGTTCAGTTTCTAGAAATAATTTTTCTATGTCCACTTTGGACAAGTAAGAATATTGCTTTACTAATGGATTGTTGTCTTTTAGTATAAATAATATTCTATGGAATTGTTTCATAATAATATGTTTTCAAAAATGGACAATCAGAATATTCTCAAAGTCACATCTACGTTGAATATGGCAAGTTGAGTTAAAAATACTTGAAGTAATGTGGGAGTTAGGTCCATGATGAGGTTTTTGTGATCTACCCACATAATTCTGGGGTTATGCCTTAGAGACATGCGACTCACGCACTAGACTGTCTACCGCCAAGGTCTATAGATAAGACTCCGTATGAATAATTGAGTGGGTGTAAGCTTAATCAAGAAATTGACTTCGAACAAGCTGGGCTCGAAATCCTACGAAAGTGTATTTGTGGAGTATCTTGAGGAGACCAAAAGATACTATTTCTACCGTCCAGAAGAGCACCTTTTGTTGCTCATACTGGTATCTTCCTAGAAAAGGAAATTTTTTTCTAAAGAAGTACTAGTGGGAGAAAAGTACAACTCGATGAAGTTCTAGTAGCACAAGATACATTAGACGAAGGACGGGATGATGTGCCATAGGAAGTGGTTGAACATTAGGAGGAGGTTACTCCACAACTTGTGGATCAAAGTGAACCACCTTAGGTAGCACAGGAGCTACGTAGATCTGGGAGAGTACATCGTGAGCCCAAGAGATATGCACTACAAGAAAAAGTACTTTTTGCAACCAATTTTTTTGCAACTAGGAAAAAATAGTTGCAGGTACCCGACATTTAGTTACTAAATTCCAATCGGTCAGCAAAAGGGGAATAAAATTCTAGGGCCCATTTATTCTCGCCATTGGCGTCTAAAATTAATATTCTGCGACTAATTTGATTTGTTGCCAAAAATATCACATTAGATACTAATTTATTTGGTTGCCAATTCTTGCGCGGTAAATTTTCACAGCTTTACAACACAATTGACAACTACAACAACAGATTTTGCAACAAAAATTATGGTTACAAAAAATAATTATTTGCAACTACTGAATAGTTGCTAAATAAGATGCAAATATTTATTAATTAATTTGTAACTATTTTTATTAGTTACAAAATAATACAATTACCGAAATATCCAAGCTTCTGACAATAATTACAAAGGGCCCAAGGTACATTTGGCAACTAATTATTTTGTGCATATTACAAATAGTTGCAAAAACTCATGTATAACAACTAAAATGTATTTAGTCGCTAAAACTTGATGAATTTTTTTGGCCCCCACTTTCCCAGTAAAATGAAAAAATAATATTTTAATTTGTGATTAAAATTACTGTTGCATAACTAATTAGTTAGTTGCAAATTATCTTCTTTTGGCAACTAAGATTTTAGTTGCCAAATGTATGGTAAATTTTGCAAATGGGTTTGGGCGGCCCCATGTTCTCACTTGAAATAAATTGAAATTTTGGGTGTGTTATTTTGGCAACTAAAGTTATAGTTGTTAATAGGATTTTTTTCGCAACCAAAATGTTAGCCACTAAATATTGTTTATTAAAAATGACATATACTATTAGTAACCAAAATCAATTAGATACAAAAAGTTTGCAAATCAGAAATTCGACAGTGGCAACTACAACATTAGTTGCAATTTTTTTTTTTTTTTTTTTTTTGGCAACTACTAAAATATTAGTTGCTATTGATGGTTTACAAAACATAAAAGTTAAAAATGGTGACCAAAACTGGTTGTTGCAAATAAATAAATGTTTATGTTTATAGAAACAATTACTAAAAGCCCATCCTATATAAACCCAAACTTAAAACCAAATCCCTAATACCCCAATTTCCCTATTCTTACCTGAGTCCTTTTCTTCTCCACGCACTCCTCTGTATCCAATTTCCCTTTTCACTTTACCATCTCCTTGATTCTACTTTTGCCATCTACATTAGCCCATTGAAGGTAAATTCTTTTTGTTTTTATTTCAAAGCTCATTCTTTTACAGATGGTATTTCGATTTTATTATTTGATTTTCAATCCGTTTCTTCACAACATTTACTTTAATTTTTTTAAGCATATGTTGTTAGTACCGTTCCTAAATGGGTGGGTTTAACTTCGTAATGGGTGATTTTACTTTTATCTTCTCTTTCATTTGACATTACAATGGCTATTATAATTGTAATGAGTACTTTAAATTTGTTTATTGTTGCTAATAAACGAATGGTGTTTGATAATCTCTATTTATTTTCTCAATTGGGTATTTAAGTTTTTTGTTTTGTGGATACTCATTCGAGACGGTTTCATATTCATCGATTTCTTCAACTAAGGTTCGCATTTTTATTCACATTCTTGTTCTTTAGATCTTTGATTTATTTTCTATACATTTATTTCTGCGTATCTTTTGGGTTTTTTTAAAAACTGTTTTGTGGGTTTGTTCTTTTGATCTCTTTTTTATTTGAGTTTTTTATTCAACTCACTACTAGAAAAAACCCCTTCCTTGACAAAATGAGTTGACATATTTTCTTGGCTGTTTTAAAAAAATATCAAGAATCAAATTGTTGACAGTTTATAAACTGTCAAGAATCAAATTGTTGACAGTTTATGAACTGTCAAGAATTTGAAATAATCCTTGACCGTTTTGGATGATTCTTGACAGTTATTAATTGTCAAGGAATTGGTTAAAAATAAATTTTATGAATCTTGCTCTTGACTTGTTGTAGTCTTAATCCTTGACAGTTTTTAATTGTCAAGGATTAAGTATATAAAAAGCAAAAAAATTTGCCTAAAACTTTTGCTACTGTTCTTTTGCTGCCCATTTTTCATTAACTATTCCCACCATTTTTTCCCTAAAACTTTTGCTTACCTGCTATTTCACTCATTTGTGCAAACCCTCCTAGTCAACCTCCTTCCGACACTGGAACAAAAGTTCTAGTTTCTAACACTCCCGTTCAATAGACAACGACTTGTTCACTGACTCTGGTGCTTACTCCATGTCTATTTCGATGGAGATTGTTAACTTCGGTGAGTTTTGGCGAGGCGTATCCCGAACACCCAAATGTAGGGGTGTTTAGAAAAATGTAGAAACCAAACCTAACTAGGAATCGAACTAGTTTTTCGTTTATCCGAAAAACCGGTTCAATTTTGGTCCACTAAAATATAAAAAATAAAATTTCTAATTTTATTAAAAAAAATTTAAAAAGTAAACAATTTTTCCTTAAAATTAAAAAAGTAAACAAATTAAAAAGTCTCTAAATCCTTACCCTAGTTAGTAAATACGCGTATAAAACGTGTTTTGACGTATGTTATAAAAACTACCGAATTATAAGTGTATAATACGAATACCCGTATAATTCGCGTATTATTGCAAAAAAAAAAAAAAAAAAAAAACTCATTGCTCTCCCCAAAACGACGTCGTTTTAGTGGGGTTTAATTCAAAATTAAACAAAATCTCTTCTCTTCTTCGGTTCTTCTTCTTGCTCAGTTCTTCGACGGACGACATTTTCAGCTTTTCTTCCTCAGTTCTTCCACGTTTTCAGCTTTTCTTCATCTCTTGGGTCTTCATCTGAGGAACCAGCAGAGTCATCAGAGGAAGCTCGGATGGCGAACTGGTTGAGATTTTTAACGGGTTTGGGGGAGAAGAATAAGTTTGAGGAAGGGAAAGTATTGGCAGAAAGAATAGCACAGATGTCATTTTTGGAGCTCTGAAAGAAACAGTTGGCCTTGTGGGTGAGACAGAGACATTGAGAGATGATTGATCGAAGAAGAGAGAGGGAGGGGGGTTTTTAAGATGGGTCATGGGTGTTTTGTGTTTGTGGTAGATTTCAGTTTACGTGTCAATCTCAACACTCATGACTCAACACTGCAATTATGTTTCTATTGCACAAACCAAAAAATAAATAAATATCTTTTCAAAGAACTTAGAACAAGACATGGGCTGGGAATTTGTTAACGCAAAGAAAAGAAAAGATTAATGTTAGTTAATTGAATCCTCCCCATTTGAAATGTTATATTAATTTTAATTAGATACTCCATAAAAGTCTTAATTAATTTTAATCAGATAGCCCATAAAAATGTTAAAAACTATAATTGATATTGCCGTATTTTTCAAAACGTATTATTAATAATATATCGTATTAAACCCGTATATATCCGTACCGTATTTTTTTTGTATCCGAATTTTATAGCCGAATTTTTATAAACATATTTTCACCGTTTGTCATATTATACCTGTAAAATTTTCGTACCATTTTTTTACTGTACCCGTTATTTACTAACTAGGATCCTTATAATTAAAGAAAAACAAAACCCCAAACCCGGTTTCAGGGTAAAATTAAAAAAAAAAAAAGTGAACAATTTTGCCCAGGAATTTTTTAATCTTAAAATTAAAAAAATTAAAAAATAAGTAAACCTGGTTATACAAAATCCCCAAACTAATTTTACCCTAAGACGCAAAACACTCCCCACTGCTCCACTCCGTTCGCATCTTCTTCTCCATTTTTTCCCTAAAATCTGGACTTCTCCAGTTGCCACTGCAACACCTCCCTCTCTCTCTCTCTCTCTCTCTCACTTACCATCCACACAGGCGCCTAAAGGCTCCAAACCCAAACACCCTATCATGCAATCACACTCTCCAGTCTCCAGAAACTTTGTTTCCCGGCTAGAAACCCAGCTTCGTCGCGCCACAACCACGGTGACACCATCTAAACTCAAATCCATAACACGCTCTTTGATTTAGGTAAGGATTCGTTTCTTGTCTTTTTCAATTTGACGTCGACTGATTAATATTGTTATGTTTTGTTACTGATTTTTGGTTCATCGTGCAGAATAAGCCAGTTCTCTTTTGTAAATCAAAATCCAACGAAAGTAAACAGGTGAGGATTGTTCGATTTAGTTATTCCATCATGGAGTTTTACTGTTATTCCTTGTTTTGGTTGTGAATGGAGAACATGATACATGTGGCTTCCTTTACAATCAACTTTTGAGTGTTTAGGTAAATATTATTATTATTTTTTGTTTTATTTTAAAGTTAGGAAGATGGTTTCTGTGGTTGCTTGAGTTCATAAATAATTTAAAAGTTTTTGTTTTTTTTTTTTTTTTTGTGATAAGATTCAGTGTCATACGCTAGAGTGGATAAGTTGTTTTTGCTTGTTTGTGATAATATTCAGAGTCATATTATGTGGTTGCTTGAGTTCATAAACAAAACTTCAGGCTGCTTGTTTTGGTTATGTTGTTTCTATTGTTATTTAGCGCAGTTGCTTGTTTTTGCTTGTTTGTGATAATATTCAGTGTCATATCGGCCTTCTTTTGTTATTTTGAGTTCATAATCAAACAGTTTGCTATATGCATTTATTATCAATTTTGATTTCATTTTTTCATTCTTATTTTGTTTCATTTTATTCCTAGGGTTTCATTTATTTATTAATATTTTTATTAATAGGACGAAGCGTGGGGCGTTGGGAAGCTGAGGGATACTAGGCTGGCGAATTTGATTGCTTTTGCTGTGATGGCGACGAGAGATTGCTTGTGGCTGAGTACCTGCCAAATGATACTCTTGCTAAACATCTTTTCCACTGTACGTTTTCGTTTAATTGAGCTATTAATTGAAGTAATTTTTACTTAGGTTTTTTAGAATTCATTATTACCATTATTATAACAGCCTTACCTCTGCTTGTTAGATAAGGATTGATAAAACAAGTAATTTATTTGTCTACTCACATCCAAGCTTCCTTTTTCTCTCATATCCCAGGTACTTTCTATTGCTATAATTTTTAATCCTCCATTTATTACTGATATTACTTGATTATTTCATTCATTTCAGTTCGATTAACTTTGCAAGGATATATATATATATATATATATGTTGTTTGCAAAGATACAGATTATTTTTGAGAATAACCCTAATGCTCTGTTTCGTTATTGAGGAAAAAATTGTGGAAGTGAGTGATTGGGTTTTCTTTTTCTTTAAAAAAAAAAAAAAAAAAAAAAAGTATTTTATACTTCATTGAAATAACCTAAAATTTTTATTTTCTTGAACTGATATAGACTGCCAAATATACAGGGTTGTAATTAAGTGCTATTTGTTTTAGTTGAGTTATTATAATGACTGTGTGGTTAAGTATTTACCTAAAAATAATGCGTTTGTACTTCATTTTTAATTAATATTTGTATGAGTTAGTTTGATTGGATCTGCAAGTGATTATCCACTTTTGTCCAAGTGGGTTTTATATGGGGTGGTATGATTAGAAGCCGTTGATTTTATGATATCTGGTTTTATCTCGGAAATGACTGTATCATGTTGTTGATAATTTATACTTTAACATTCTTTAAAATTTGCAGTTAGGTAGTGACAATGGGGGTTCATCAGATGAAATCTCTCCTATATACTTTTTCTGGGCCACATTTATTGGCCTTTACATTACCAACTATGTAGTGGAAAGGTCAACAGGGTGAGTAAGAATACCTTGCATGATACAGGTTTTGGTTTGAATGATATTATAATCTCTTGAAAGTTTTTTGTTTTATGGGTTATGCCTTTTTTAGCGTATCTGATTCTAATGTGTTTCTGGTGTGCTTCCTGTTTTATTGATTTCTGACCATCATCAAGTTTGCCTGTCTTTATCTAGTTGTATAATTCTTTTAGTTTAGAGAGTTGTGTTCTTGGGGATTCGATCGGTCCAATACAATTGTTTCATGACACTCGTTGGGGAATCGAGAAAGGGTGGGTTAATGAACAAGCAAGAGAGCTATATGTAAGTTCATCAAGTCTAAATTATCTAATTAATGTTGCATGAGTTGTGTAGTTATGATTGTATCTATTATTACTAGATTTCTTGCGCAAGAGACTCCTCAATTCAATGCTTATTTGTGTAGTAAACAATGTTTTGATATAAACACATTTGATTGTTATAAAGCAACTTGACAATGCTAAATAAATGAAAACTTTGTCTGTTTTAGAGTGTTCTCTATATAGCCAAAAGAAAGAAATAAAACTCAGCTGAATCATGATTAATTTACCTATGAATTTCATTCATGAGATGTTGGTGGATGATATGCGTATTGGTGGAGATTGATATTGGTGGAGATCTGAAATAGAAAGTGAATCCAATATAGTAGGCTGATTTTCTTCTTAATTTCTTACTGATGTTGATGTTGAAGAAGAGGATGAGACATTATGCATATAATTCATATAAACACTGAATATTTAAGTAACTATTGTATAAGTTTGGGCATGTTAAACCTCAACTATTGACTGTACCACAGAGAATGGGTGAGATGCATATGAGGTGTTCATACTATATGCATTTAGTCAATAGTGTTAAATGTTATTATATTGTATCTATTGAATCCCAAATTCATGCTGGACTTATTGCTTATGGTATGAATTGATGGCAGGAGAAAATGATTGAGATGCAAGAGGAAACCCAGGCGGGGGAAAATGAAAGATCTGAAGCTTAAACATGTGAGGAAGTGCTTGGTAAAGCTTCCAGCTTCAACCTGAATATTGCATTCTCAATGACTTAGCAGCAAGATACGGGGTGGGCATTTTGTTTGTTAGAGTTATGCACAGATAGATAGGTACTGATGAAAATGTGGGGTGCATGCTTTGTTTTTTGGTTATGCACACATGATAGTGCATTTTGGGTTTTTATTGCTCATCATGCATAAAAATCCGTGTATGGACTATATATATATATATTTGATGTTAGTGATCAGATTTTTATATTGTGTCAATTATTTTGTTGATGTTGAATGTATAAACTAGGTCATTTACAAAGAGCAAAAATAATGTTCTTAAATGTTAACCAATTAGTTATTAAAGTATTATTGCAAAAATAATACACCAGCCAAGACTAATCAATAATAGCTAATTAAAATAATTAGTTTTCAAAACTCATATACAATCGGTTACTATATTATTTAGATGCAAAAAATTAATTTTAATGACTAAACATTAGTTATAAAATGTAAGAAACCAAATTGGGTATATACATTTCTCAACTAAAAACGAAATGTTTTCACCACTAATTATTTTCTCACAAAAAAACACATTCTGCAGCTAATTTTATAGTAGCGAAAAGTAATTTATCATATTTGGATCTTATATTCAGCATCTAAAATTATTAGAATTAACCACTAAATTTTTGTTACCAAAAGATACATTTGTCCTCTGTTTCCTATCCCAAAATTAAAGCAAAAGCACATTCAGGTTCTCACTTCTCAAGCAGTTTGACAACAAAAAGCATTAGTTCATTCATGTCAACTAACAGCCAGATGCAGCTTGACCAGTAATTTGCATATTTAAGCCCCCCTTTCTAAAATGCACCAGGTGCCACTTACTAGAAATTTCAAATCAAGGTCAATTGATGCAGGGCAAGCCTACAAGAGTGGGAGAAGTTGTACTCAAGCAATGAAATAGTGACACAGAATTTCAGGAGCAATTTAAATTTAATTTTTTTTTTTTTTTCAACTCCTTTAGGAATTCTAATGAAAATCAGACCATATGGCCTAACCATTTTTTAGGAAGAATTTTTCAATTCCTATAGCAATAATTTTATTTTTCATAATTAATGAGCAAGTGCGATTGTATATTATTTGAACAAAACTAGCAAGCAATATTTGCTAACCAGTCTACTTAAAAATACAAGTAAAAGAATTTCCATTGCTAATTGTAGTTTTTGGTTGGTTAGGACTTATGCTGCAACAATTGGCAAAGAAATACACAACTAATGAACTAGAGTAAATTAATTTAGTAGAAAATCAATTCCAAGAGACACTAAAGCAATCCATCCAACAACTATAGATCTTCCCAGAACCATCTTACAAAGTTTTGATCCCGCCCACAACAGACATAAAGAAAAAGAGTGAATCAACTATTGAAATGAAATGACATTATTAATTCTACCTTCTAATTAAAATTATAAATCTTCAAAAGATATAAACAAAAAAATTTGTGATAGTATCCAACAAAACATTACAGAATGATTAAGGAAAGAAATCCATTTATACAGGAATGAAAATCAAATTATTGCATTAAGAGTGAGGATATGTCAACTAAATTCCTCACCTGAAGCATAAAGGCCTCCAAAGGAATAGGATCTAGAGTTGTCACTAGATAAACGTCATTATATTCAAAGTCGCGGGCTTCTTCGTGCTTGGGCCTCCCCTAAGCTCGCCACCAACATGCTTCGAGCTGGCAATGTCTGCGGGCTGCTTCATCCCTAAAACAGTTGGAGCCTTCGTGACGGCCGCAAAGGCATCTATTTTCTTCTTTTTTGGCTTTTCGGCCCACATTTCTGCAAGGAAAAAGGTAAACGAGTTAGCAATCTATTTGCGTGAGACAACAAACGTGAGCAAGTAACAACTTAACCTTTCTCCAAAAGCGCTAGAAAATTGGCCTCGTCCCGAAAAAAGTTATACGCTTTCAGGTGAGGAAGCGTAAGAAGCTGATTAACGTTGCACTGATTGTCCGGAAGATCACTAAAATGCTGCAGCCTCTGTAAGCTCACAACTGGAAGATAACTTTGCTCAACGTTAACTACAAAACAAGACATGACGATCAGTTAGAATGTACAACTTGAGAACAATCCTCGCACGAACACAGGAAGCCCGAGCCTTACTCGCTTCCGTAGTGAAGACATCGGTCTCCTGGGCTTTGTAGAAAAAGAACTGAGAATCCCAGTGTGGAATTTTCTTCGAGACGTCGACCAGCCCATTGAAACGTACTCTCCTCGCTTTAGAAAGGTAGTATGTCTAGTCTTGCCCTTTTTTGAGCTTGTACAAGTGGACGAGCTCTTCAACGGACGACTCGCCTAAGTCAGCAATCATGTACGTGAAGTACATCATGATAATGATCACGTAAGAGTTGGCTGTCAGTTGAAGAGGAACAATGTCGAATCGCCTCAACACGTTATCGATGAAGTAGTGCGGGGGAATGGATACCTCGCACCTAAGGAGAGTCTTAGAGGTTGCTACCCATCCATGTAGGGGTCCTTCCGAGAATATCCCTCCGGAACCATCAAGTTAAGTTGCGACGCGTAGACTACTCTTATGCGTTCAAGATCCCCGCTCGAGGGTGATCGAGGATTGTGGTTCTCTTGATAGCCTATAGGCTGGAGACGGCGAGGAGTGAGCTAGTTGAATTGAAGCACGATCGGACAAGCCCGTAGCGTCGAGGTCCGAGCTTCGAGCGATGAATTCTTCAGAAACCTCGGGGGACACATCCCCAAGGATTGCTGAGCCTACCAGCAAATTGAACATTCGGTTTATGGTACGACTCCTGGAGGAAGACATAGTTGTAGCTTGCTTCTGGGTACTTGAAAAAAGAAGCAAACATGTGTCAGAGCTCGAACAAATCGGCGACCATTCCACACTCGCTTCTATTTCAGGCACCTGAGATAGCTCGTGCAATACAACGAAGGGACGCGACCTATAATGCTTCTCTTTCTCTAGCTAGTATACTTATGAAATATATAGTAAAACTCACTAAATATATATATAAGAAAATATACAAGTAGATGAGTATAAAATAAAGGGCCCATACTAATTTTTCTTTATATACAAATATGTACATTAAGTAACCAAATTACTCAAAAAAATAAGCTCGACAGTGTTGCCAGACCCTTCCGCTTCTTGACGCTCCATCTGACCGCATCTCATCTACTATCTGCAAAAACATTGAAAACAACGGGGTGAGCATTAATTACTCAATAAGTAAACCCACTATGCTACCCTTTCTATCTCTGTTGCTCTTATTCTGATTTTCTTTCCTTACATCAAACTTTTCTATTATTCTCTACTCTTTCTTTAACTCTAGTTTCTCACTACTCAGGATAGTGGAAATAGTATCATGCATAGATATAATGCATATGCACAAATACATAGGATATGCATTTTCTTTTATGTTTTTATGTTTTTCTGTTTCTTTTCTCTGTATTTCTTTCTTTCTTTCTTTTCTAGTCTTTCATTCTTTCTATTCTTTCTTTCAATTCTTTCTTGCCAATTGGACTCAGTTGAGACGTGGATTTGGAACCCTGGCCGTGTGAGTGTATTCTCTAATTCTTTCTGGGTACAGTCCTCATCCACATGCACTTCTAACGGACTATACAAATCTTCTTTCTTATTCTGAGGCCGCTCGCTAAAGGCGGCGTGCATGTGGGGCTAGTCACTCACGGGTTCCCCATTGCAACAATCTTCCTTTTTCTTCTTTAAAAGTGTTCTTTATTATTTCTCTTTTCTTTCTCTTTGTTCTTTAATGTTCTTTAATGCTCTTTAATGCTCTTATGTGTATGTATGCATGTAGATGGGCTTGTACTTGTTATACTTTCTAAATTCACATGTTTAGAAGAAATAATGCTATATGGCATGTGAACATGTCATTCTCTACCATCTACAAACTCATCTCAAGATAACAAATAATCATATTCATGCATGCACTTCTCTTTGACATTTCATCAAACAATTTGTATGCACACACAAACTCTAAATTGGCTACACTTCTATATCTTTCTTAAGCCACCAAAATTTGGAGCCAAACTCCTTAAAATCATCATCAAACCTGGCCAGGAATTACACTTCACAAATTCTACTCTAATTCTTCCATAATTCATCCAAACTCTCATCAAACACCACATACACAAACACCACTTCTCATGGTGGAATTCTAACCATCATTCAACATCAATTCCATTAACAATTCTCATACAAACACATACATGCATAAAAGAAGTTCTCTATACAATATTGCTCCAATCATGACTAGGGTTGGATTTACTTACCTTAGATGTGAGCAATCTAAACACTTTAGTAGTCTTCCTTGATACAACCCTCTTCTCTTAAACCCTAGGGATGCTTGAGATTGAAATTCCACCAAAAGTGAACCAAGATCTATGAATTTCCTTGAAAAGTGATTGAAGAAATTTGAGAGAACTTAGGTGGAAATTGGAGTGAATGGAAGGGGAAGAATGGCTAGGGTTTATGCTTGAACCATTAATATAACATATTATTACTTATAGCTTCCCATTTTACCCTTACACATTTTATGAAATTCCATCAGTGTCCCTTAGTCAATTACCATAATGTCCTCATTCCATTGCCTTCTCCATGTAAATTTATCTCTTTTCACTTCCCACACTTTCAACTAATTATGGGCGGAATGACAATTTTGCCCTTAAGCAAGTTTTCCCTTGAATTTCACAAAAATTTCCAGGGAGTTTTTTGCCCCGGCGAAGCACTTTCTTTGCCCCGATGAAGCATGCATTTGATGCCATGAATTTGGGCAGAGAGTACATTGTCACGGCAATGAAATCCCTTTGCCGCGACGAAGTCTGCAAAATTTTCCCTAAGCTAATTTCATACATTCATCTTGGAATAAACACTACAACTAAGGGAAATGAGATTACGTACCTCGATGTGGGTGTTACACGACCTACCCAAGATACCCACGGCCACTGCGTTAAACCCCTTTAAAACTTGAGACCGTCGGAGACACAACCAAAAGCCCTACTGAAACCTTAAAACATCCAATGTGGCCACTACAGTAGCTACCCTTTGACTCAAAAAACAGAAAAAGGGAAGAAAATAAGGAAAAGAGCCTTATCGGAATAAGAAAAGTGATGGGAAATCGTGAGAAAGACCATCATGACGACGTAAGAACAATGGAAAAGGAGAACTAGAGTC